GACCATAATTTTGACAGTCCCCCACATAGTGATTTAGTAACCCCAGCGCTCCAGCTTCATAAACTACCTGCTTAGTCGCGCTGGCCCTCGAAGTGTGTGGTACAAACGTAGCACTCAGCTCATTTGGAGAAGGGGGGTGCCGTTGTAACACCCTTGAACCCTATCATTCCAAATATATTATGACTCCTACTGGAACTAATCTATAACTATGACCATTTTACTGTCATTGCTAAACGTGTTGAACCAGGTTCTAGTGCAGCTGAAGCGATTGGCAATGGAACCTATTTGTCCTCAGGTAAGCAGTAATCTCAATGGAGGTAGCAGGACCCCAGAATAGGGGGAGTTTTCATGAATTAAGGATATCTTTTGGGGGGTCGTGTCGATTAGGGTTATGTGGAGGTCCATATTGGGGCCACCCGTTTTGAGAAATCCCCAGTTCCGAAAAAGCCTTGGAAACTTCCCATTTGATTCTCCATTGTTGGGCAGTATCGCTAGACCCTACATAGCCGTTATATAATATCATTTCCTAAAACCCTGAACCCTAAACAGTAGTTTCCCTATATCTTCTAAGGTCCTCTCCCGAGAGACCAGTGTGAATTTCTCGCCTGGCGTCAGGCGCGTAAGTGCCTAGGCTGCAAGACGCCAACCCCACCACCCAGACCCCCAAAAGGATCTAAAAAATAGATCCCTTAGAACCATAGGGGGGAATTATATAAGGAGTATATAGGGGTTATAATGGGTCTATATAGGGGATCTAATTTTTAGATCCTTCCAGGGTCTGGGCAGGACTCCTGATAAAGGGTCTGGAGTTTAGGGCTTAAGGAGAGAGAGAGAGAGAGAGAGAGAAACATATATCATATATGTGTACATATACATCGGGACATTTTGGGGCTTAGAGTTTCCAATTATTATGAGGGATACGGCCTGAATAACGGAGAATCAAATGGACAAGAACAACAGAACATACAATGGCAACTGTGATTATATGAGCGTCTATTTACCTCACCAAGCATCTTGTCATGCTGCAGATACTAGGTATGTAACTCTACGCCAAGTAGCCGTAAGAATCCAAATAACCGCTGAAGTATTAAGAACGCCAGCACAACTATTTGCAAGCATCTGTCAGAATCATTACTCCCAGCTGATGTCCAATATGACCCAACATTACCCCAATATAACCCAATATTACCCCAACATAACCCAATATTACCCCAACATAACCCAACATTACCCCAATAGAACCCAATATTTACCCCAATAGAACCCAACCTAAACCCTAAACCCTAAATGTTACCCCACAGCCGTGCGTTGACTTCTTCCAAAGCTGCGAGGTGCCTACCAGGTCCTGCACACATTGCATCTTGGCTTTGACAACCTGTGGTTTAGGGTTTAGGGTTTAGGGTTTAGGGCACCCTAAACCCTAAACCCTAACCCTCAGGTTTCAATAGGGATTCAACCTCCCCTTCAGGTACCGGCGGGCTGTTGATGAAGTGCTGAATGGAAGGAAGTTCATATCCGTAGGCCGCTGCCGGGCATAGTCAGCTTTGTCTGCTGGCAAATCTCTGAAAGGAATAGACCCTTTAACAAAAAGGTCCCTTGTCTACCAGAGCCCAAAACAGGGCGTATAATTTCGAAGCTTCCATGTGATCTGTTTGCAGCATTCCTGGTGTTTCCCTGCAAGGTGTTTTTGCACTGTTCCCCGCCCTCTTCCCAGTCGTGTGGCGTGGGGTGACCTGCTACCGTTCCTTACTGGAAATTTAGCACAACAATTTGCGAAGTGACTTTGGTAGATCTTCTTTTGGATTCTGTATACATACCAGGTACAATCAGCAAATGCTCATTTTGGTTTTTCCAAGAGAAATTTGGTCTTCAACTGATCTGAGGTGAGATGGGCGAGGAAGTCACCGTGCGGGACATGTTTGTAGCTGGGTTTGGCCACAATCCTATGGCTGCCCAGCCTGTAAGTACGATCATGTAGCAAGTCCTTCGCATGCAGGGAACACTATGAATAGGTAACGCAGAGAACTCAAGAAGGGGCCCATGATGTTGATACACCCTGTATCCTGACGCTTGAGCTCAGCCTTGGGAATCGTGTAGCCTACCGGAGTTTTAGAAACCTCAGCGCTTTTCAAGACTTGATTATAGCCATGACATGCTGAAGCTCAAAACATATCATGCAGAGCCGAGGTTATCTATTGCGTGGCGCAGGCCGTGTTCATTGCATACGCGCATGGCTCGGTATCATCCATTTTCGCAGTCGGTGCCTCAGAGGCTGCGAGGTGATGGTCCGCTTGAAGACTGCCATCCATTGTCAGAAACAATGAGGACCCTCCTTGCACCCTTAATTGGGGATGCATGGTCCCTAATAGTGGCTACTCAGGCCCTAGTAGAGGGTAGGAGGAGGGTCTAGGAATATTCTGGATGAAATGAAAAACGGTTCTACTGTTACTACGACTAGTATGTGTACGGTTTTGCATTTTTTCTCTTTGCGTAGTACGATCCTGGCTGCAGTGGGCTGCCTTACTGAGGTCATTGGAATTCTCCACTACCGGCGCATGCAGATGGTCATGGAGTCGGTGCAGCAGCTGACTCGTAGATTGCCATGCCTCTATCCCAACTTGCCGCAGGCGCTAGCCCATCCCAGCTACTTGAAGGTTCGAGGATGTAGTAGAGATGGGATACCAAGAGCCCTAAACCCCAAAACTCCAAACCCTAAACGGGCCTCACTGCCCAAGAGATCCCACCTGCAAGCCCACATAGAAGCTCGCATAGACAAAATGTGTGAGGGTTCCGAAGAAAATCACGTGTCAGTGCAGAACCTTTTGTCGTCGGTTGCTTCTGAAACTCCAGCATCCAGCATGGCACGCCCACAAAACTTACTAGGCCTTAGTAGGAAATATAGGAATAGAATCCTGCATAATATACTCCCTTATTCCCTACTAAGAAGCAGTAACTTGTAGGGGTTGTCCTATCTCTGGAGTGTGCAAGAAGCGCTCAGCTGCTTATCTACTGCAGAGCTCACACAAACCAGACTCAGAGGGGTCTAAGCTTTGGAATTTGGATCTTGGTGGGGAACTCTGAAGGTCCAAGGACTCAAGTAATCGGTTTTTAGAGCCCAAATACTAGAACCTGAATGGTATTTGGGACCTAAAGCCCTAACATTTTGGTCCTTGGGCCCTCAGGGTAATTATGGTTGCAGAGGTATTAAGCGGTAATATAGTAGTTTCCGTTTTCTTTGCCATTATCCCCATATATAACCCAATACGGACATAGTAGTTTCCATTTTCTTTTTCCGTTATCCCGATATAACCCCAACCCTAAACCCACTGTAGTAGTTTCCATTTTCTTTTCCATTAAACCTACATCACAGGGCAGGGAATGGGTCAAGATGTCGGACATTGCATTATGTTCTAGGAACTCTTTGGACCCC